GAATGGGCAAGCCTAGAGATGGTTTCATGCCATCTCTAGCTTTGGAAGCCAAATTCTGAAACAGAAACTTTCTATTTCCCATAATTCTCCCTCAACCTAACATTTTTATATCCATTTGGATGCAGAGGCAATATCCCCATTTTACAGCAGAGGGAGATAAGATTTAGTTGCAACTACATACGGTTAGCAAGAGGTAGCGCCAAGACTGGAATCTTCAGTTGCTAGCTTCAGAATCTGTGCTCTTCATGTGCAAAATCATTTCTAAGCAAGAACAAGGATTCTAGATTGTCCTCATCCTTACTACAGAGTCATACCAGACTTGGGGCAAGACCTAAAGGCTGCAGGCACCCTGGGCATGTTCATAATTTGGCAACCCTTAAAAGTATATTCATTGACAAATTTGCTCAACATTTATTTGGAGCAGAGGCTGAACTCTGTGAAGAGCATGGGTGAAAAAGAAGAACCTATTGGTGGCAGCACCTCAGCTTACACATGCCATTCAGCAGAACAAAAACCAGAAGTTAAGGGCCCATTCTCCTTAGAAGGAGAATAGTGATTCTGAGCATGTCTCAACTCCCAAGCAACCAAAGTTGTCTTTCAAACGTCATATAATGCTCTGCCTGGAAGGAGTTCTGATAAATACTTTTCTCCCTCACATTACATCACCAGTGATGTTTTTAGAGTCCTTTCTAGATCGGTGTCCTAGGTATTGCTCAGCTGACCCTTCCCTAATCTTCCCCCACGGCGCCCCCACTGCCACCCAGCACACACATGGGTATCCATCTACTCGATCCTGCCTTTCGCTTCCTTTCCTCCAAGCCTTTCTCTGCCTCCCCAATAATGTCTTCTTTCTCCTCCAATTTGATTAGCTGCTGCCAATCGCAATGACCCTGTGTTTGAAACCCTGCGCACTGGGGTGATCATGGCAAACAAGGAACGGAAGAAGGGACAGGCAGATAAAAAAAATGTGAGCACTGTACCTCCCCACGAGGTCCCTCCCAGAGATCCCATGGAGCAGGTCATTTTCCCATTTGGGAAGCTGACAGAAGTAATGGATTATCTTCCCCTAAAATTGCACATAACCCGACCAGGCATGGTGGCTTATGCCTGTAATCCCAGCACTTTGGAAGGCCAGGGCGGGTGGATCATGAAGCCAGGAGATCAAGACCATCCTGGCCAACATGGTGAAACCTCGTCTTTACTAAAAATACAAAAATTAGCCAGGCATGGTTGTGTGTAATCCCAGCTACTCGGGAGGCTGAGGCAAGAGAATCACTTGAACCCGAGGGAGTGCGGAGCTGCACCTAGTGGCCAAGAATAGCGGAGGTTGCCAGTGAGCCTGGAGATTGTGGCCACTGCCACTCCAGCACAGCCGTACCAGTAGGGCTGAGCAGGAATTGGCCAGGAGGGAGGGAGTGAGCCGGATGGACTGCCTAGCCGACAGAGTGAGATTCTGTCTCAAAAAAAAAAAAAAAAGAAAAGAAAAAGAAAAAAAAAATTGCACATAACCCAACAGAAATATTTTTGCATGCAATTTTAGGGGGTTTTGGGACCTACTGCAGCTCACTCACCATGGGCCTCTGGTTAAGAACTCTAGCCATAGATTACGTTTTCTCAGCTTCCTTCTGAAATAGTCAGATTAGCCACTACAACCACATGAAGGCTAGGCCCAAAGTCTTTGGCATTGCTGGGTGACAGAGGCAAGAGCTGTGCTTTTGGATGTAGGAAAGAGAACTTGTCATGCCAAGTAACTGGAGAATTCTAGAGCCATGCAAGGATCCATGAAGATCATCTGGTCTGACCCATTCATTTTACAGATGATGAAACTGAGGCACAAAGCTACTGGCCAAGATAAACCTCATTTCCTTTTGTAACAGGGTTTCTAGGTTAGTAATGCCATAGATTTGCATTCAGTTCAGCATGGAATTTGTTAGAATATTCTTATATCTTTCTGGACAACCAGGGTTGGACCAGTATGGATGATGGTTACAGTTAGATGGACTCCTAAAATTGGTTGAGTGGCAGTACTCAGAGTCCAGGTCCTTTCAGTATTATACAGCTAGAGGGAGATTTCTGGTGCGTTATAACATGATTTAGATATAATGAAGATACAAATTGTATGTTCATGCCGGGTGCGGTGGCTCACGCCTGTAATCCCAGCACTTTGGGACGCCAAGGTGGGCAGATTACTTGAGGTCAGGAGTTCGAAACCTGCCTGGCCAACATGGTGAAACCCTGTCTCTACTGAAAACACACACACACACACACACACTATATATATATATATATCTCCAGGGCGTGGTGGCACTCACTTGTAATCCCAGCTACTTGGGAGGCTGAGGCAGGAGAATCGCTTGAACCCGGGAGGCAGAGGTTGCAGTGAGCCACTGCACTTCACACTTCAGCCTGAGGGAGAAAGCAAGACCTTGTCTCAAAAAAAAAAAAAGAAAGAAAAGATAAATGTACATATTTGTTCTTGATCAAAAAATCACCTGCAAAAAACAGAACTAGAAATCTGGCCTCAGACTTGTTGATATGGAGGTTGGGCACAGATAAGGGATTTCTATGGAGTGAATTCTGACTTACAAGGCACTAGCAGTGTGATTTGGCTGCTTCCAGAAGGGCTAACATACTCTTGGGTTATATTCTTTTAAGGGAATTATAAAAATTGTGCTGCTCTTTTTTTTTTTTTTTTTTTTTAGACGGAGTTTCGCTGTTGTTGCCCAGGCTGGAGTGCAATGGCATGATCTTGGCTCACCACAAACTCCGCCTCCCAGAGTCAAGTAATTATCCTGCCTCAACCTCCCAAGTAGCTGGGATTACAGGCATGCGCCACCACGCCTGGCTAATCTTGTATTTTTAGTAGAGAGGAGGTTTCTCCATGTTGGTCAGGCTGGTCTCGAACTCCCGACCTCAGGTGATCCGCCCACCTCAGCCTCCCAAAGTGCTGGGATTACAGGTGTAAGCCACCGTGCCTGGCCATGCTGCTCATTTTTTACTTACACACTGGAGTATTTTTAAAGGCTGACAGCATAGTCAAGGACCTGGAATCTGGTAGTGAATTCCCTGTCATTTAGCTACATTCAAGCAGAATGTGGGTGACCCACCTGATAGGATGTTTTAGAGAAAGTCCGTGCATTAAGCAGAGGGCTGGGCTAGATATTTCCTCCAAGGCCTCTTCCAACCCTGAGATCCCATTACTCTGTAGTTCTCTGACCTGATTATAGAGAGCCAGGGCATGGGTTCCCAAGACAGCGTCTCCCTAACTCTGGTGCCCCCTCCAGCCTCTAGCAGCCATGATGGAGGAGGAGCCAGAGTCGGCCAGACCAGAGGAAGGCAAACCCCAGGATGGTGAGTGTCACCCACCTCCATCCAGAGATGGAGTAGGATTAGAGGCTCAGCTGTGGCACAGAGGGTGGAGGAGCAAAGGGCAGGCCAGCTTTGGATAGATGAGGCCTTTCCACAGAAGGGTAAGAGAATAAGAATTGACCTCCAGGAGACAGACAATTTGTTGGTGTTTCCTATCCCAGGAAACCCTGAAGGGGATAAGAAGGCTGAGAAGAAGACACCTGATGACAAGGTAAGAATCTTTCCTCCCTGCAAGGACCCCAGTCCTCTCCCCAACCCAGCTCTGACACCACCACTCATGGCCCTGGCGGAAGCTCACTCTTTAACTCCTAGGCTTCCCATCACCCTTGACCTACTCTCTCCATCACCTTGCACACCCACCCACAACCAAAACACTTCTCTCAGTTCGGGGACCTAGAAGAGAGTTGGAGTGTAGAGTGTGTGGTGAATGTCCCTGCCTTGGAATCCTGCCGCTCAGTGTGGGGTAGAGGAGCCCTAAGACTCATCATTCCCTTTCACCCCCAGCACAAGCAGCCTGGCTTCCAGCAGTCTCATTACTTTGTGGCTCTCTATCGGTTCAAAGCCCTGGAGAAGGACGATCTGGATTTCCCGTGAGAGGCCTTGGGGCAGGGGGCTGGTACTGTGGAGTGAAGAGGAAAGAGCTGGGTTCCCCCAAGGGAAAGGAAAAAGGGGGACTCAGGGCTTGGAGCCTATTGATGCTGGACCAGGGGCACAGAAGGGGACCTGCTATGTGAGTGAGGCCTCTCTTTTCCCCTCTCAGGCCAGGAGAGAAGATCACAGTCATTGATGACTCCAATGAAGAATGGTGGCGGGTGAGAAAAATGGCTAGGGCTAGGATGGAGTGTGGGTTGAGTCACGAACCCGACATTGAGAGATGGACTCTCCCTACTATCTTCCCTAGGGGAAAATCGGGGAGAAGGTCGGATTTTTCCCTCCAAACTTCATCATTCGGGTCCGGGCTGGAGAACGTGTGCACCGCGTGACAAGATCCTTCGTGGGGAACCGCGAGATAGGGCAGATCACTCTCAAGAAGGACCAGGTAGGCTGTTGCCCCAATCCAATCCCAGGCCTGAATGCTCCCTAGCCGACCACACTCCTTGGAGAGCTTAACCATTAATGAGATTAGGGTGAGCCCCTGTAACCCCCGGCTCCCCTGCTGTCCTCTCCTACCGTTTCCTTTGATTCCTCTCCTACTTCTGATCCTTTAATCTTCTAGATCGTGGTGCAGAAAGGAGACGAAGCGGGCGGCTACGTCAAGGTCTACACCGGCCGCAAGGTGGGGCTGTTTCCCACCGACTTTCTGGAGGAGATCTAGGCGTGCGGGCGCCTGCAAGCGGGAGACACCCACACCCCATTCTGGGCGGGCCCAGTGGAGTTTGGGGAGGGGGCGAAAACAACAGAACTGCTGGGAGAGGAGGGGTTGGAAGGCCCGCCTGAGCGCTACGGGGCTTCCGGAAAGGGACTGGTTCTCGCCCTGTTCCCCAGCCTGGAGCCTCGGGTACGTGCTGCCCAGAGCAGCCCGGATCCGAAACCTTTCAGGCCCCGCTTGCAAGAGCTGGAAAAAAACGCATATCTACTAGCAGAAGCGAGGGACTGGGGCGGGGGGCGGGGGCGAGGGAGGATGAACTGTCGAATGTTGCAAGTTTTATTAAACTTTTGACAAAACTTAGAAAAGTTGTTCTTTAACTGGGGTTGAGGAGAGGGCCTGCGGAGGGGTGGAGAATCCTCCCTAACTGCCCGACCTCGTTACCATCGGGTAACCTGAGACCCATCTGGGCTGAGGTTGGCGGGAGGTGGGAAGACAAGTGCGCCCGCCAGGTGAGGCCTCTGTGGTCAGTGAAGAAAGGGGAGCGCGGGGCTGCAGTCGCCGCCCCGGCGCCCCAGCGGCTGGGAGCCGGTTCTTGTAGTAGGGTAAAGTCCCCCTTGCTCTTGGCTCTTTAGCCGCAGGCAGCCTCTTGTATTTCGAATCTGGCTTGGCGCCGAGTTAGGCCGCCAGGGGGCGATGCAAGATCTCGGTTGGAGAGCGAGGGATGGGAGGGGGTAGAGGGTGGGTAAGGGGAGAGAACCAGAGACACCAAGCCCGAGACCCTGGGCCTGGGAGGGGGTGGGGTGCGTGCCGTCTCCATGGCAACACTTCCTCAAGTCCTCCGGGAACCGAGCTAGCTAGGCCGGGGGCCTAACCCCTCCCACGCGGCCCCTGCCCTAACCCTTTCCGACAGGTTCCGAGTGAGGACGGAGGGCAGACAGCTAACCGGCTCTCGCGGAGACCCCCTGCGGAGCGCCGTATGCAAATGTTATTATTTGCATATGCAAATATGCAAATGCGCCGGCCCTGGTCAGGGCGGCAGGTGGCGAAGAGCGGGAAGGTGTGGGGAAGGGAGCAGAAGGAGACGAGGAGTTTGGGGACCTGGGAGCGGACCCAGTGAGAGGGAGGCTGAAGTGGTCGCTGGAGTGGGGCAAGCGTGTGGGGGGGGTCTTGAGCTCGATGCCGGGTGGGGGAGGGTCGGCTTGGCCAGCCAGGAGCTCCTCTTCTCGTCTGCCCGTTGTCTGCCAGGACTGAGGTTGGCACCGCCTAGCAAGGTTGGCAGCGGGAGCCCGGGCACCATCTGCTGCTGGCGGGGGGAGGGCCGAGACTCAGCTGGGAGGAGGGCCTGGGACAGGCGCGCCCCCCTTCCAGAAGGCTGAGGTGTGATGGGGGTAGGGAAGCACACAAGAAGACTGCAGGACCGAGTTCAGTTTTCTGTTCCCTTTGCCCTTGACGGTCCCGGATGCCTGAGGGGGTGGAGGTGGAGTCATTAAAGAAAACCCCCCTTTAATCGCGATTGAGCTGGAATAGGAGCAGATCACAGGCAAACACACACACCAACCATACGCAAATCAAGCCTTCTGTCCTCATCCTTCCTTGAAATCCACCTAACAGGAATGTATGAGGGGAGGGACCGCGAGGGCTCGGGTCGTCTCTATTCATCAAGGTCTGAGGGACTCAAAACCAGAGCCCCCCCGAGATCCTCGAGAGGGCCCCCCATCAATGCTCAGGCAAAACCAATTTACTGGCTCATTGGGCGGCAATGCTGGTGTGCGGATGCCGAGGAGCAGGGAGAACGGCTGTTCTCTCCCTACACTCGGGGGGCGCCCCCCTCCCTAGCCTCACTGAGCCGGCAGCTGTCCCTAATTAGAGCGGCGGTTTAATTGGATTTATCAGCAGTTAATAGGAAATTAAGCAAAGGGCCCGAGAGAAGGGGGGCGGGAAAAGCGGGGAAACAGGCTGTGCTGAACTTGAAGGAGGGGTGCTAGGGTACCAGGGGTGGGGACATGTGACCCAGTGTCCCGATGGAGCCCCATGGTCACACCCTCCCCTCAGTACTCACCAAGACTGTTAAGCCCTGGCCTGAGGGCCAGAGAGCAGGTCCCCAGAGAGCGCGGTAGGCGTGACAGCGACCCTGTGTGAGCTCCCAGCGCCCTTCATCCCCGTAAGCGGCGCCTAGGTGATGGATGATACTGCCGCACGCTGCAAAGGTCATAAGTCTGGGCCAAGGAGCAGAATGAATTGAAAACAGATCCGAGGAAGGGCCGGTACTGGGGTACAAGACAACCCGCACCCCACCTCCTCCACTGCCCACTCAGCGCGCGCGCGCACACACACACACACACACACACACGTGCCCCTTGAAGTTGGAAGACTGGGCAGCACGGGGGGAAAGGGCAGAGTACAGAGTGACCCTCTCTATAAACCCCACTGGCAGCCGTGTTGGGGATCCTGAGAATCTTCTGGTGCAGCTCCAATGTTCCCTTTGGGTTCTCCCTCCACCAAACTGCCCGATTTGGGTCTGTGGGGTCCCCCGGGTCTGCTGCTCAGGGGCGGCCCAACATCGACACCACGCTCCCTAGGGGCCAGTCAAGGAAGCTTGCAGGCAGCTAAGCCCTGGCGCACGGGCCTCTTAGTCCACAGCCCCAGGCGCCTCCTGTCACCAAGACTTCATTATACTGCTAGGTTAACGAGGCCTGCTCCGGAGACCCTGAGGACCTCCCTGCCACATTCCACCCTGCAGGGCACAGATGGCAACTCTTGCATATACTAAGGTGTGCTAGCCTCTGAGTGGGTGTGGGTGGTCTCTCCGTGCCCCAGGCAATTATGGACGTCTGTATCCCCGGCGTGTGGTTTGTGTGTGTCCGTTTGTTCCCTGGGTATGTGAGGTGTGTCCACCTGAGCCCCAGGTGTGTCCGACTCTGTGTCCGGGTGTGTGTCTGTGCCCCGAGTGTGTCTATATCTGTCGGGTTTGTCCACTTCCCGCTCCCCAGCTCCCATCTGAGTGATTTTGCCCGGATGTGCCTCCGCGTGGGGGCGTTTCCGTGCGTCTCCGCCTGCAGGTATGTGTGAAAATCAGGAAGAGCCAGCGGGGAGTGTGTGTTGCTATCGCGTCTCCGCCTGCAGGTATGTGTGTCTCGGTGACAATGCGTGGGCGTGTGCCTGGGTGTGAGCCGCGCGGCGGCGTGTATCCGAATGACAGTGTGACGCACGTGCGCACGCGCGCGCGCGCCGGAGAGAGTCTCCCGCCCCCACTCCTTCCTTTCCCCATTTCTATTCCTCTCTCCTCTCCCGGCCAGCTCGGCTTCGCCGTCCGCATCATCTCCATCCATTATTGAAGAAACAGCCGCGTCCGCTCCAATCACATCAATACCCCCGCCCCTTCTCCGTTCCGCTCGCCCCGCGGCCCCTCTGGGTGCTGAGGAGAGGGGAAGCCAAGGCGCGGTGGGGGAGCCTGGTGGGAATGGGCTTATGACCCTTGCCCCAAGCCCGGCCAGGAGCCGGACGCCGGGGTGCCCGGCGGAGAGCGCTTTGCATAAACAGATGGCGCGGGCGTCTTTGTCTCACTTGCTCGCTCACCGCGCAGCTCCCGGCTTCGCTTCTGTCTGGCTGATGCAATCATGATCATCTCGGTGCCTCGGGAACCGGCACCCTTAATAATGGCAGAGGGGGTCAGGGGCCCCGGGGCTCCCGAGCAGATGCTGGGCCCTGTGTCTTCCCTCCCGGGCGCCCCTCCACGTCCCACAGCCGCGGCGGGAAGACCAACGCTGCGCGGAGGTGACGGGCATGTGGAGGTGACCAGGAGGAGGACCCTGGGCACTGAGGAGGAGGACCCTGGGCACTGAGGAGGAGAACCCTGGGCAGTGCCCCGAGGCGTCCCCGGGCTGCCCTGTTGGGCTGCTGCAGTCCCCAGAAGTAGCAACCCAGAGAATAGGAATAGAGCTGGGGAATGGGGTCGGGGAGAGACAGAAATAAAGACAGAGACAAAGAGAGGCATTAGTAAAGAGAGACACAGTTAGATGGAGAGATGTGAAGGGAGGGAGCGAGACACAGAGAGACACAGAGAAACCGATGCAGAGGGACAAAGCCAGGTAGGGAAGGCAGCAAGAAAGAGAGCAGACAGACACAGCCAGAATGATAAGGAAGAGAGAGATGGACATACCCAGAGAGAGGAAGCAGACAGACCGCCCGAACAAGAGGCAGAAAGAAGGGCAGTGAGAGGCTAGGACAGGCCGGGTCAGAGGGTTTAGGGCAATCTCGAATCTGCAGCCCAGAAGCAGAGATGAAGCCCCCGCCTCCCCCGCCCCCAGGCATCTGAGTCTGCCCAGCCCCAGAAGAGGAACCCGCCTGAACCCTGGGTGCTGATTGTGGCTGGCGAGACAGGAGCTTCCGCGTCCCCTCTCCGCCCTCCGGTCCCATCTCACACGAGAAGAGTGGAGGCTGCGGGACCCACTGTCTTGGCGGCGGGAGTGGCGGAGTACTCGCTGGGCGTGGACGGAGACTCCAGGCACCAACTTAGCTGCCCGAATGCCGGGAGTGCAGGGTCGGCACTGCCGGATAGGGGGTGCCCAAGGCCTCTTCCCCGAGCTTGGGGGCCCCTCGGCCTCCAGGGGGCGCCCGTGCCCACGGCCCCTGCAACACGCTGAATCCGCTGAGTCCCGCTGCCTTTGACCCGCTGTGCAGCCAGCGCGCGGATTGGGATCCTGGTGTGGGTTAGCGCTTGGAGTCCAGTCCCAGCGGGATCCCGGGCCGCGCCTAATCTGTGGCTAATGACTCCTGCGGTCCCTCACCCCGCTGGGCCAGCGTGGCCTGAGTCCTCGTGGTGGGAAAGTGTGGGGAGCCAGGAGAGATGGAGTCCTGTGTTCCAGATCGGCCCCATGGGCCAGCCAGAGACGGGAACCAAAGATGGAAGGGGGATTAGAAATAAGTTCACAGAGACAGGGACCAGAAGCAGAAGGGTCAAAGAGTGGCGGAGAGGCGGAGCGGAGGTAATAATGTAACGTTGCAGCTCGGTGAGCTGGGCGGAGGCCCAAGGCCGGAGGAACAGCGGCGGCCCTGGAAAAGGAGTGTGACAGAGAATTTGGGACCTGGCCGGGATCACCGGAACTCAGAAGAAAGGGCACAAGGAGGCAGGCAAGGGCCCGTGAGCAAAGGCGCAAGGACCAGGCGTCCATTCCCGCGTCCTTGCTCCCCAGCTGTGCCACAGAGAACCAGATGTGCAGCCCAGCTGTGCGGCCGCTCAAGTTCGAGCTCTGGGGTTGCTTTTTGGTCCCAGAGACTGGAGGGCTGGGGTACGCTGGTGACAGGACACACCCTCCCTTCCTGGGCCCTGGAGGCGCGGGCTCTTCTCTGGGAGGGCTGGGCTGCTGGAGGCTCTGACATCCCGTCAGCCCCGCTCCCCCGCCCTCCACACAAATCGCAGCGAGTCTCTGTCTCTTTGTTCTCGCCGTGTCTCTGACACTTTATCTCATTATCCGCCGGAGGGAGGCGGAGAGCCCGGGACCCTGCAGCCTAATTACAGCCGCGCTTGTCAGAGTAGGGGGCGGTGGAGGTATCAGTGCGAAGGAAAGGGAGGGGGACCCTAGAAAGCGCCCTCTCCCTCCCTGTACCCCAAGGATCCCAGCCATAGGTGCGTAACTGGCTCCCGCCCGCGCCCTCCACAGGGCAGGCTCTGGAAGGGGAGGTGGGGGGTGCTCTGCAGGTTCAGCAGCAAGGAGGGAGGGGGTGGTGGAGGTTATGGTGGGAGTGGGGAGAGATATTAGGACTCGATTCCTGCGTCCCTAAGACCCAAATTCCCCAGAGACGGGGGTTGTGGGCTTCCCAACCGCGGCAGCATAGCACCCACCTGAGATGGTTGAGGACAGGAGGGAATCGCTCGCAGTTCTGTGTCTGTGTCTTGTTCTCTTTCAACATCTGTCTGATCTTTCCTGTTACCCCCACTCCATTCCCTTCCTCTCCATCCCACAGCCAGAGGAAGGGGATGGCCTCCTTGGGCGGCCCCACCTTTACCCTACCCCAGGTAGGCAGAGCAAGCAAGTCTCTCAAGCGCCACTGCCATGACTGTGGTAGAACAAATAAACTGGCATATTCCATCCTGATCCTGAGCCATGATTAAGATACACCTGGTTCTTCCAGCCTCCAACCACGATTCCAGTTCAACCACAACCTGAAGAAACCACTCAGAACAAGAGGGGCTGGGGGAGCTTTATGGTGTGGGCCTGTCTTCCTCCTTCCCCCTCTGTACTGTGAAGGGGACAGAACTAGGGTTCTCAGGACCTGCTCCTGGACAGCTCTAGGGGTGTCAGGGAAGTGTTGCACATGGCCTCACTGGCCCTGGCCCCTCCTGGTCCCACCTGTGAACACTCTACACATGCATTTTGCTAAGTGCCCGTCCCATGACCATGCCTCCTCCCACATCTTATGGGGTCCTATGCCAGTGAGGTCCTTCCCTCAGATGCCAAAAGCCCCAAGAATGATGGTGTCCCTTGGTCCAGGTGCAGGCATCTGGAGGAGAGAATGGGAGAGCAGAAACCACTTGGCTCCCAGACAATTCCCCTCCAGGCTTTGGGCCTGGAATTGAGGAGAAAGTGAGCTAAGTTGGGGTGGGGCGAGTCCAAAGAAGCACAGGCTGGGCCAAGCTAAGCTGCTCTGGGCTGGGCTGATCCCTCCCCACTCAGGGGCGGGATCCCAGGAGGAGGGAGAGGACAGAGCCACTGGAGAAGACCAGACACTGGAAAAACGATATGGCAGGAGCCAGTCTTGGGGCCCGCTTCTACCAGCAGATCAAAAGACATCCGGGGGTGAGTCCCGTCCTCAGAACCTCTGATTCTAACTCCTAACTCTCCTGCTGCCCCACCCTTCAAATCCCCCAGCGCCTTGCCTTGTGCCCAGGTCCCTCAGCGCTCATAATCTTCCCCTAAGATTGCCCCAGTCTCTCTCCGAAAAGTCCCTGTGTCCCACAAATCTACTACCTTGGACAGGATTGCTGTAGGGTGAGGGAGACCATGCCAGGAAATATGGTTGTAGGAGATTCCAGGGAGGGAGCACCAGACCCGGGGTGGGGTTGGGGTGGGCACAAAAACTTGTGAAGGGTGACTGCGGGGAGAGAGCTGACCCCAGAAGTGCTCTTCATCTTCCCCGCAGATCATCCCGATGATTGGCTTCATCTGCCTGGGCATGGGCAGCGCTGGGCTCTACTTGCTGCGACTCGCCCTGCGCAGCCCCGACGTCTGGTAAAGGCGGGGCTTGGGGTGCTCAGTGGGGGCTGGGTGAGGCAAGATGCAGTGGAAATAGGTGGCCCTAGTAGGGATCCCGTGCCCTGCTGCATGCACCTTCGACTGTACCAACCTGCATCTCAGGGCTGGAGCCCACTGACCTGGGAGACCGCTTTATCCCCTCCAGCCCACCTGACTGCTCACTCCTCAGATTGGCCCGCCCTGAAATGCGGAACCGACGCCTCTCCCCCTCTCCCCGCCTGGTTGCCATGACGACACTGCTCCTCCAGCGGTGGGCTCGGGCTTTTGGGTACCTCTAAGTCCTTGCCAGAGCACTGGGGGTGTGGCTGGGTGAGCTGCTGGAGGTGGCATTGGGGACCAGTGTGGGGCGGAGATTTCACACCCGGCCCGCGGAGGGGGTCCGGAAGTGAAAGGCGCACCAACGGCTTTATAATTCCTGGCACATCACCAGAAACCCAGCCCCTTGGGATCTCTTGATTCCCACTACTCTGCTCTTAGGGTTAACCTAGGGTGGCAGGTAGCAAGTGGGAGTCCCTGGGCCCCGTTGTCAGTTTGCCACCCAGTCCCATGCTGACAATGGTGACAGGCTTCTTGTCTCACTTGTCAGCATCTGCTAATATGACCATTCCTTTGTCAATCCTGGGAAATGGGACCCCCAGGGCAGAAAGCGGGAGTACCGGGGTGGGGCCAGAGCCTCTAGCTGGAGCTTGAGGGTCAAATTGGGTTACAGAGTCCTGGGTCCCAGGGAGGAGACCCTAACCCTCCCCTTCCTGCTCCACAGCTGGGACAGAAAGAACAACCCGGAGCCCTGGAACCGCCTGAGTCCCAATGACCAATACAAGGTACCTCTTGATGGCTCTAGGGTCACCCCCCCAATCCTCTTACCTCCTGGTCCGGTGACCTACAACTCCCGTACCATAAGCAAAGGGAGGCTTGGAGCACTCAGTGCAACCCCCTTTCCCTCTCCTCTTAGTTCCTTGCAGTTTCCACTGACTATAAGAAGCTAAAGAAGGACCGGCCAGACTTCTAAGCCAGGCTGGGCTGCCAGTGCCATGCAAACCACGGACAGCCAGCCCATCCACTTCTTCCACTCCTCCCCTCAGGCCCCAAGGCGTCAGTCTGGCCACCCTGTCCTGCTCCTGCTCACACAGGCCGGGTTCCCACGCAGAGGGGAGGCTGCTCCACCCCTACTCTCCTCCCTTGCTCCCAGCAGCGGAAGCGCCTCTGACCCTTGGCTTGAGTCCCACGTGGGGGAGGAGGAGGCAGGCAGCACCAGCAGGGGTCCATCAAAAGAGCCCAGACTAGCCCCTCTGCCCTCCTACCCAGGCCTCGAAGGGTGTGGCACAGGCTACGTGTTGAGCGTGGCCTACGTGAGCCAACAAGAAGCAGGGACCTCTGAGTGCCAAGAGACGTGGCGGGCTCCACGTTCACCCAGGCTCTGGGAGTCAGCCCAGGGGCGGTGCTGCTCAGCTCCGGCTGGTCCAGGGCCTGCCTAGGCTGGGGCACCTTTGCCTCCTGAGGTGCAGCGCATTCCTCCCTGCCCAAGCCCGCTGCCTCTCGCTGCCATCAGTACCCCCTCCAGCCCCATACCTGGGCCTCCCCTTGCTGCTCCCCTCCCTTGCTCCCCTCTGTCCCCAGGGATCAAACAGAAGCAGCCGTGGGCAAAATACAATTTCATTTAACAAATTGAATTTGCTGCGCCTGCTAATCACGTCTGGTGTCGGCTCTGATCAGAGACAGAGAGAGGAGGCTTCAGCCCCGGGGGTCCTTGTGGTAGAGGTGGTGGGAGGGGAGGAGTGTACACATTGAAAGAGACAAATCACTGTTTGGCCCAGAGGACCCCACCCACAGTAATGGAAACTCAGGGCAGGTTGGTATTTTATTAGATAAAAACAGGAAGGAGGGTGCCTACCCACCCCTGCCTGCCACTGGCTCTGAAGGGCACTCCCCAACTTCCCCAAGAAGGAGCACGCATCTCTGACACTGTGATCCTGACAGGGGGTTCAAACAGAAAGTGCCTGGGCCCTCCTTCTAAGTCTTGTTACTGAAAAAGGGAAAAGGAAAGATCTTCTCAGTTACAAATTCTGGGAAGGGGGACTATACCTGGCTCTTGCCCTAGGTGAGAGGTCTTCCCTCCCCCACCAAAAAATAGAAAGGCTTTCTATTCCACTGGCCCAGGTAGGGGGAGGGAGAGTAACTTCCAGTCTGTGGGCCTCATTTCCCAGGTGCCTTCAATGCTCATCAAAACCAGGCATGGGGAAGCCCCTGGCAAACTGCTCCACCCGTTGCCTGAGGTCGGCCAGACGCTGACTTGTTTCTGAGTCCTTGAGCAGGAAGGATTTGAAATCCTGGAGCTTGGCTAGAGAGAGAGGGTGAGGAAACAAGTGGTCAGAGCTCTAGGGAAGGCAGCGAGATCAGCTGGGGGAGGGAGCAGACAGTGAGTGAGAACTGGCTGGCCCCAGGTTCCTTCTTGCTCACTCACCAGTCTTAGTCTTCACCTCTAAGCCAATGTTGACCCCTTCATCTATAAAGTCCACAACTCTCCGGAAGTCATCCTCACGGAACTGTCGAGAAGTCAAGGCCGGGGCCCCTGGAACGAGGCACAAGGGGAGGGATGAGCATAGCCCAAGGTCACCCAGCAGTCATCCAGCATGGGAGCCCCTTCCCTCCTCGAACCCCAGGTCTCACCAAGCCGCAGGCCCCCCGGTGTGATGGCACTTCGGTCTCCAGGACAGGTGTTCTTGTTGGCAGTGATGGATACAAGCTCCAGCACCCGCTCAGCCCGAGCTCCATCCAGGCCCTTGGGCCGCAGGTCCACCAGCACCAGGTGATTGTCAGTACCACCTAAGGTGGGTAAGAAATGGGGAGTGGTGAGTCTCCTGGGCCTCTGCCTGAAGCTACAGAGGCCCTCACCCATCCCCTGCTGGCTCACCCGATACTAGTGAGTAGCCTCGCTCTAGCAGGGCATCCGCCATGGCCCGAGCATTCTTCAGAACCTGCAGGGAGTACTCCCGGAACATGGGGGTGCAAGCCTGGAGATGAGACAGTAGCAGCTGTGACCCTAGGCCTGGACCCAAGCCCTGCACTACCCTCTGGCCCTGCACCCTTGGCATAGCTCTGTGACCCCAGCCTTGACCCCTTCCATCCTGGCATTTCCCTTCCATCAGCCCCAGCATCAGTTAGCAAGGTGCAGGATCTGAGCCTCCAGGCCATTGCCCCCCGACACCCTACAGGGACAGGATGCCCAACCTGCTTTAGGGCCACAGCTACTGCAGCAATGGCATGATTGTGGGGGCCCCCCTGCAGGGATGGGAACACAGCAAAGTTGATTCGGTCCTCAAATGTGTAAGGGATCTCCCGGCCAGTCTTGGGGTCCACAGCCTTCACCCCTTTCCGGTAAAAGATGAGCCCTGACCTGTGTGAGAGGTGGGTGGTCAGAGTCTAAGCTGAAAAGAAGGACAAGGCACAGAGAAGGCAGAGGAAGCTGGTGGACCTGGGCCCCAAGGGCACACCTCACATGGGCTAGGTACACTGGGTTCCAGTGGTAAAGGGAATCAGTCCCTCAATCCCATCCCCAAACCCCCTGCCAGAGCATAGCTACCATGGGCAAGAGAAGGAGAACTGTCACAGACTGGGTAGGAATCTTAAGGGCTGCAGGTGGGAATGAATTCCTCTCAGGTCCAGGCCAACGGTGCCCCAGGAATAGGCCTGAAGGCAGGGAAAGGCAAGGCCCGACCTCAGGGAGCCTGACCTGGCCCCTCGAAGAGTCTTGTGAGTAGTGGTGGTGACGATGTCCGCGTGCTTGAAAGGCGAGGGAATCACCTTGGCAGCCACCAGGCCACTGATGTGAGCCATGTCTGCCAGCAGGTGTGCTTTGACTTCATCACACACCTGGGCAGGTACGGAGGCAAGGCCTCAGCCTGGGGAGGGCCTGGAGAGGCCTGCCCAAGGCTGCCCTCCTCTCACACCTCCTCACCACCCCCTGGGGAGGTGCCCAGTCTCCAGCCCCCCACCAACCTCTCTCATGCGGGCATAGTCAATGAGGCGAGCATAGGCACTGGTGCCAGCTATGATGAGCCGCGGTCGGAAAAGTCGAGCAGTCAGTGCCAGCTGGTCATAGTCAATGAGGCCAGTTTTGGGCTGGACAGACACACAAACAGCTAAAGCCCTGAGAAGGAAGCAGGGCAGCTCACTCTCCTCCTTGACCCTAAGGACAGCCCAGCACTTCAGTCCCTCAGCTTCTCCAGGAGAGGACCCCCACCAGGGCTAAGAGCCCCTCCCCACACCCTGGAGCACTCACATTGAGCTTATAGGGCATAGACTCGAAGAAGATGGACGTGGCTGATATCCGCTTGACGTCAGACATGTAGCCGTGGGTGAGACTGGGAAGTGAGAGGAAGTAAGGAGGCCTGGGTGGAAGGACTCCCAGACTTAACCGCTCCCTACAACTCCACAGTTCTCTGTCCCCGGAACACCAGTCCTAGCATACACTGCCTCACTGCTCTGTCCACTCTGTGGTAGGCACTGTAACTGGGATCTTATCTTCCTCATCCACTGTGACATGCAGGACAGGGCAAGGCCTGTTCCATCTGTATGGTCCACAGTAGGTATTCAATAAATAACTCCTTTCCCACACCAATCCTGCCCACCAAGACCATCAGCCTGCCCATCCATACTCACTGGCCCCCATCGGGCAGGTCCAGCCCCATGATCCGGTCATGAGGTTGCAGAAGGGCTGTATAGACAGCCAGGTTGGCTGGGGACCCAGAGTAGGGCTGGACATTGACTCCCCACTGTGCAGGATCCAGGTCAAAGGCTTCCAAGGCCCGGCGCTGGCACAGCAGCTCAATTTCATCCACCACCTCTGCTCCCCCATAATATCTGCCGTGGGAGAGGGGTAATGAGGGCGCAGAGAAAGGACTCTCAACCAGCAGCAAAGGACTGGGAAGTTCACTCCTCAATGAACACTGGGAAGGTACAGGTGGGTTCCCCCACTGGGAGCACCATCCCTGACACTGCCCTGCAGCCCTCACCTCTTGCCAGGATAACCCTCCGAGTACTTGTTGTTCAGACAGGACCCCAGGGCCTCCAGCGCAGCTCGGCTGCAGAAGTTCTGGGGTGGTGGGGGGCAATGTCAGAAGGTATTGAGACCCTTCCCCTGGACTCCCACAGTCCCTCCCTGCCAGAGCCAGAGCTGAAAGCGGGGATACTCCCTGCAGAAAGCTCCATTCACTCAGCACCAGGCCTGGGGCAAAGCCAGAGGCAGCATTCTCAGACACCCAGCTGCCATGAGCGGTGGCCCCTCAGTGCCACCTACCCACTCAAACTTGTGCTTCTAGGCTCCTCCTTCCTTACAGAAGGAAGGAAGGAAGGGATCAGATGAGACTGTAGGGACCCGGGAGGCTCCCTAATGCCCTAACCCCATAAACTGGACTTGCCCTACCTTTGCTTCAGAGAGATAAGAAAGGAAGATAAAGCCCAAAGAAAGGTCCTGAGTGTGAAAAGGGGTTTTGGAGAAATATCAGTTAAGATAACTTTGTTACTTTCTGTACCCATGGTGGCCCAACCCCTGCCCATCTCCCCAGGTCCCACCTCTGAGGCAATGAGCTCCAGGCCACGACACTGCCTGTCCTTCTCCCTCTGCAGCAACTCCCACATCTCAGGATCACTGTCCGACAGGCTCTCCTGGCCTGTCCAGCCCCTGTTTGCTTCCCCAGTCTGAGTCTGGGCTGCCTTGCTGTGCTGAGCCCGAATGGCCATCCTGACCAGCTGCCCCCATCTCTGCAGAGGCTAGAGGCAGGAAAAGTCAGGGTGAAATCACAACAGTCTGGACGAATCGTCTCCCAGCCACCCTCACTCATGCTTGTAAGGCCACACCTTGCAGCCAGTTGTCCAGCCAGCCTGTTTCAGTTCTAACTACCCCCACCTCCACCTTCGAAAGCCAGTTCTGGAGCCAAGCTTGAGGCCAACGTCCAGGGGGTGGTTCTGATTTGTTCCATTCACTGCACCGCACCTCAGAAATCTCCCACCAGCTCACTCCATGAACCACTTGGCAAAGTTTGTCCTCCAAAAGCCTATGTCTCCCTAACTCCAGAGAGGGCCACTGAGATTCCAGAACCTTCCAACCCACAGGAACAAGAAGGTCTTCCTGCAGGGCACCATAAACTGATACCCTAGTCAGCGTGGGGAGAAGCAGAGTTGGCAAGGGCTGAGGCCACAGGCTGTAGAGCAATGGAGGTGGGAGGGTAGACCTTTAGCAGTCCCTGGGGAAGAGCTGTGTGGGAGTGGTGGGGGTGGGGATCTGCCCGAGAGTAAGCCAATACCCTTTCCCCTTACTTAGCCCCCTACCCGTTCCACCTCCTTCCAACCCTCACTGCCGCCGGGACCCCTGTCTGATGCAAGCAGTGAGGCTCGGTTGCATCATCTGCAGGGCTCAGAGCTGGCCGAAAAGGCTCAGCTTGTGAGGCCAGGCCGAGAACTCCACTCATTCGCCAGCACCGGGTCCGCGGGGCATCCGGGGCTGTCCTCTCCCCTAATGCCACGTGAAATGGGCGGTCACGAGGCCCTGGGGCGTCTGATCGCCAGAATGAGGACAGGCTCGCAGTTAACCCTACGCGCGCCCACGGGTCTTGGGGATTCCCTAGTTACACGTCCGCTCCCTGAGGCCCCAGTCCACGTGCGTGGAAAAGCCAAGAGAACCCCAGAGTTTGTGACTAGTAACTAAGGTAGGAGAAGAGCTTCCTTTCCACTGATTACCCAGCATCTGGAGCCCCATTCTTACCCGAGCCGCCCAGAACAAAGAGAAGTACAGCATCGCAACTCGGAAGTCGCAGGAGGTCCAGCCACCAACTCTGGTCTAGGGGACCAAGCTGTCGGAAGAAGACCGTTCGGAGAACGCATGCGCGAGAAGAGCGCGCTGAGACTCCAAGGCTAAGGGGAGGGACCTACGCATGCGTAATGGTGGCGCCTTTGTGGCTTTTTGGGAATTGTAGTTCTCAGCCTCCCCGCTTTTTTTTCTCTACAATTCTCGTCTGCAGCCCCAGGGTTAGAGGCCCTTGCCTGGAAAAAAACAAAAAACAAAAAACAAAACAACCCGAGGTCCAGTGCCGGCCCCTCTCCTTACTGTCCTGAAGTTTTCAGGGTTTGTTTTCCCTCTGTTTGTTGTCAAGACAAACGTTTATTGGGTGCCTACTGAATATCTAGCTAGCATTATTAGACTCCAGGAGATCTGGACCCCCACACAAGATAGAGAGCTATGGCGCACTGGAAAGCACCATGGTTTAGAAAGGTCGGAGACCTGACTTCAAGTTCCAGCTCTGGGACTAGTGCATTAGCCTGTGTGGGCTTCAGTTTCCTCCCTGGTAAAGCCACAAGAAAATACTGTGTGGTGAGGATTCAATGAGGCTTTTCCTGTGAACATGCGCTGTGACGGATTGTCCTCCCCTCTTCCTCTGATCCACAGACCTGCCTCCTACATGGCATCTCCTCTTTCTCCTCAGACATCTGGGAGCAGAGGAAGGTGCCCCTCCTGTTGTTCACTTGTCCCATTTTGTTACCTGTCCATCTCTTGATGTCCCAGGAGTAAGTGGTCTCTGCTTTTTTCCCCAGGGCTATAGATCTTTGAGAATGGAAGGGATCTTCCTTTTAGCCTGACTTCATCTGGAGGAAACCCTTGGGAGTGGAATTCATCGACCCTTCCAGGAGTAGGTTCCCAAACCTTGGCAACAGAATGGGTTGGAAAATATGATATAAATATGTGTGTGGGGTCTGTTTTCAGAGGTTCTAATTCAATGGATCTCAAAGAGTAGACATTTGCCCACTTATGCTGTCACACAAGTAAACCTCTCCTCAGTGGTTCTGATTAGCCAAGTTTTTTTTTTTTTTTTTAATTAAAAAATGTTTTTGGCCGGGCATGGTGGCTCATGCCTGTAATCCCAGCACTTTGGGAGGCTGAGGCAGGAGGATCTCTTGAGGCCAGGAGTTCTAAACCAGCCTGGTCAACATAGTGAGACCCCATCTCTACAAAAGAAAAAATTTAAAATTAGCTAGGCATGGTGGTATGTGCATGCAGTCCCAGCTACTGGGAAGGTTGAGGCAGGAGGGTCACTTGAGCCCAGGAGTTCAAGGTGAGCCATGATCAAGCCACTGCACTCCAGCCTGAGTGAGAGAGCAAGACTGTCTTAAAAAAAAAAAAAAAAAATTTTTTGTTTTCTTTTTTGAGAAAGAGTCTCACTCTGTCACCCAGGCTGGAGTACAGTGGCATGATCTTCACTCACTTCAACCTCTGCCTCTGGGTTCAAACAATTCTCCCTACCTCAGCCTCCTAAGTAGCTGGGATTACAGGTGCCCACCACCATGTCTGGCTAATTTTTATATTTTTTAGTAGAGACAGGGTTTCACCATGTTGGCCAGGCTGATCTTGAACTCCTGACCTCAGGTGATCTGCCTGCCTCGGCCTCCCAAAGTGCTGGGATTACAGGCGTGAACCACCACGCCTTGCCAAAAAAATTGTTTTTTAAAGGCCAGTCAAGTGAAGCAGTGGGAGTGAAGAAGGAACAAAGAAACCTGTAACTGATTGTGATCAATTAGTTGTAAACATCACTGCACTTGGACCAGCCTGATAAAAAGTGGTTTTGCGAATCATTGCCTTATGTAGCAATGTTATTCATTCATTCAACAGACATATTGAGCTCTTTATGCCAGGCATTCCATAGCCCTGGAGATATATGAAGAGCTCACTGGCTGCTAGGATACCAACAGGTGAACAGGTAACAATGTGTGACAAGTGCAATGACAGGCAGGGACACCTAACTCTGCTCTCAGATGTCCAGATGTATGAGGAAGAGGAGGAGGCAGAGGAAGAGGGGAGGACAATCCAGCACAGCGACATGTTCACAGGAAAAGCCTCATTGAATCCCCACCACACACTATTTTACTGTGGCTTCACAAGTGAGGAAACTAAGGCCCAGATGGGCTAATTTGTTAATTCCAGCCATTCCCACCTGGCTCTCATACCAGCCCTTAGAAATCTCCCCTTAGCCGGAACCTCCTTCCCTGCCACTCTAGGCTCAGCTTTTCTCAGGTGTTTCCAGCAATAAGCCTGGTGTTAGAAGACTTCCGGGTTCTTCTGCTTTTGGCCAATCTCGGATGCAGAATCATTCTCGATCTCCCTCCTCTTTCGGTTGACCCTGTTATTCAGCCATCCAGCCAGCAGATATTTATTTTCTGCTTACTGACTTTTCACTCCCAGATATGTCTGGGTCAGACCTGTGTCTGACTCAGTTTCAGGCTGGAGCCAGTGGGCAAGCCCCTGGGGAACACTGCCCTTCCAGTGGGCACCCTGACCCCGGAATCAAGGCGAAGATGAGGAGTTCCTGGGTGCCTCAGCTTGTCGGCACCGCTCCCCCTCCCTCCTCCAGCCAGGGGTCCCAAGGGGAGGGGGGCGGCTGAGCTGAGAACCGCTAATGAAGCCGCAGCCAATTAACGCCCAGGCCAGGGTCGGGGGGGCGGATAAAATTAGCAGCCTCGGCTGCAGGAGGGAGCCGGAGGCGCGGGTTGGGGGAGGGTGGGCAGCTGGCTAAAGGGGGCCGTGTTTGCTAGTGGCAAGTAGCAGCCACGGGCCCCGCCCTCCAAACCCGCGCTGGTCCCTTCCCCCACCCCCTCATCCCAAAGCTCCCTCCCCACCTCCTCCGTCTGCAAACTCAGCGCCCACGAAATTAGGAAGGAAAAGGAAGATCGATGACTCCAGATGCCGCAAACACCGTTCCCCCTCCCTCCCAACCTGCCACCACCTCCGCCGGCCCCGTGGAGCTTAGCAGGTTGTCAGCGCTCTGCTTACACTGTCCCTGCATCTCCATCCCATTCAAGGTCTTACACCTCCTTCCCCAAATCATCCGCTGGTGAGCCCCACTCAGGTCTCATCTGCATTCCACTTGCTGCAGCTTCCCTTCACCCACCTCTGGAGGAGAATCCCAACCTCAGGCGGGGCTCCGACCCCGAGGGTAACCCTCAGCTCTTTTTGATCCGGTCTTTGGTGACTTCCAAGGTGCTAGCTCTGTCAGTCTTTGCCTTGGTTTCCCCACGAGCCGCTGAGGGAGAAGGCCCTGGCTCTCTAACAGAGAGAAACCCCACACCACCTCCCCACTCCCTACAAAGGTCTCACACAGGCGTGTATTGGATTTCACTTTATTTTGTTCCCTTTCCCGTCTGTTTTGGCGTAGAAAAAAATATCACAGAGAGGAAGCAGCAGGAGAGGGCAGGTGGAGCTGGACTGCAGGGACTGGAAAGGGGCGGGCAGGGGCCGGGGCCAGCGCCTCAGCCCAGGGGTTCTGCTTCCGGTACCCTAATGGGGTTTGGAGGAAAAGGGGACAGGCATATGGCAGGCAGAAAGGTGGGAGGACAGGCTGAGGTTTTTAGGCCTTTACAGTCTTAGGCGGGGCAGGGTGGAGCAGGACAAGCGTTGGGGGATAGGAAAGTCAGGGTGGGGTGAGGGTGCCAGGCCAGGAGTTATTAAAGCTGCGGGGAAAGGGAGTGTGCAACCTAGCGCTAAGGGTGAAAAGGGGACCCACTGTGGACCTAGGGGACATTGGGACCACCTCCAAGCCCCACCTATTCTGGGGCTGCACTCTTACCCCTTTCACTTTGGGGTGCATTGGAGGGGGCTACCCCAGCCTCAGGGGCACTCCGCATAAGGAAAAGGGCACCCACGTTAGCTGAGGGTCCCGAGAGGGCCGTTCCCCTCCGCCCCCGGAGTGGAAGGAGTGGGCGACATGGCCACAGGAGCGGCAAAACACTGGGAAGGGGGTCCCACCTAGTGAGGCTGGGATTTGGCACGAGGCTCGGGGCTGGGGCTGGGGAGGGGCGCTATCCAAAGTAGGGGTGCTCACTCTGGAAGTTATAGTCTGGGCACACCTTCTGCACCAGTTTGTAGTCAAAGCTGAGGAAAGAGACGAAGATACAGATGACTTTGAAGGGCTTGGCACAGAGCCAGGCGGCCTGGCTCTGCGTGTGCTCGGTGAAGCACACCTGCGATGGGTCGTACAAGCACGGGCGGTGCTTGCGCGCACGGTTTGTCTTCTCATACTCCACGTGGCAATTGAAAGCGCGCGACTCTTTGGCCCCAGGCACTCCCAACGCGCCCCCAAGCGGCCCTGCCAGTGCGCCCCCGAAGGAGCCCGGCCCTGCCGCTGCTGCTGCCATCCCCAGCGGGGGCCCCAGCCCAGGAAGCACCCCCTCCAGGGCGAGCGTAGACTGCAGAGGGTGGGGGACAGGCCCGGGCAGCCAGACTCCCCCGAACTCGACACGCTTGGAGGGCGGCACGATGCTGACACTGAGGTTGCCCAGGCTGGACGAGTTGTGGCGGAAATACACACTGAAGGTACCATTCACATGGTCCACAATCTTGCCGGTCACCAGCAGTGAAAACTTGAGGGTATGCACCCGAAAGTAGAAGTCCCCCCAGCCGAAGATCTTTTTGGCGCGGGCCGCCTTGATGGACGGCTTCCTCTTGGTGCGCTGCGCGGGCAACGCCCCGGCTGCCCCTGCTTGGGCCAGCGCCGCAGTGTGGTTGGTCGGCCAGGCCCAGCTCCAGGCGCGACCGGCGCCTAGGCTGTCGGAAGACCTTAGCGCTGGGAGCTGCTGGCCGGGGGCGCCCGCTCCGGCCGCGGCGGGGCGCAGCTCCAGGTACTGGGGCCTTCCGGACTCTGGTATCTGGGCATTGACCGCCTGTGCACGAAGAAAGAGGAGAGAGAGACGCTGGGGTTGTCCCCCGCCATCCCACCAGAGCCCTATCACACCAGCCCCTTTCCACAGCCGCTAGGAGACCAAATGGAACCACACAGTCCCGCAGGGGGCAGAGAATGTGCTTTGGAGGAGACCTGCAGCCCTTTCAAGTCATGTGGTCTTGGCCCAGTCACTTCATTTATGTGGGCCTCAGTTTGTACATCTGTGAAATGACGTCAAGAATCCTCCTGTGCCCACAGAGCTCCAATGAGGGCCAAAAACCCAAAGCCAGTGTGAACGTGAGTAGGGAGTGGAGCTCTGGATCCTGGCTTATCTTTCGTGGCCCGGCCCCTGGTTGGTTCCAGTAATGAGCCAGGGAGGGACTGGACTTTGAGCAAACTGAGCCAGAGAGGCTGTGACCAGTTAACATCCAGCATCAAGAAAGAGGCTCCAGGCCGGCACTCGCGGTGACTCATACCTGTAATCCCAGCATTTTGGGGGGCCGAGGTGGGCAGATCGCCTGAGGTCAGGAGTTCGAGACCAGCCTGG